ACAACCGTCCCTTGGGGACAGGCCTGTGTTCTCGGATTCATGAAAGGTTCTCTCATCTTCGTTCAAAATATTTGTATCACACAGTACATTAGGTTTAATAATTTGCCAAATTTCTGTTATACATCTACCAAGGCCAATGACGGATCGCTTTCCAACACGAAGATCACTTAAGAACCACCATTCTAAAAAATACATAAATCCAAATGTCTTTTGTTTCCCTACTGTTTTTCCATTGACTAATGTTTAAATAGCACTGCCATTCAAAGTCAAAAGAATATAAATTGCTGACCAGAGGTATATCTGGATATTCCTGACAAGCCCTGAAACTGAAAGAATACAGTAATAGGATAAAATGATAGTTTGATATATTTAAAAGATAGATAATAATATTTATAACAAAAAATAGAATCCAAACAAAAACGTATTTCCCGCCATTTATACGACAAGCATGGCGTGATTAGAGAATTGGAATGTAAAACAGCTACATGTAATATTGGAGATGTTCCCTAAAAAGACATGAGAAGTGATACAATGCGTGGCAATTATGGATCATCGCAATAAACCAAGGCTGCAAAGCCGTGATGAACAGTCGGGATACAACACATAGATAGCAAAGCATTTGATTAGTCTGCTGATAATATACGGTATGGAATGGATTGTCAAGAGCCACATTTAATCAAAATTCTGTCGTATGCGAGAAATGATGGAGATATGCAGTGACACTAAATTAAACCGAAAATATATTCTTCTGAAACGACTCCTTTATGACAACTAAGAAATGAGGCTTTTTCATGAATATTCAAAATAGCTTAGATTCTCTGGGCACGGAGATGTGATTTCGTTTCCCTGGTCTAAAATGCGAACATGAAGCACAAATAAACAAAATCGCGTCTGAAGAATTACAGTATTTGGAGAATATTTTCAGTGAAAGTAAATGTCATTTGGATAGTAATACTGTCATCGCAGAGTGTAACATCTCGTTTAGATAGCTTAGTCACGTGAGGAAACCATTCCGATACACTGCAGAGTGAAGGACCTCGTGTAGGAGAGCTCTGTCACGTTATAAAACCATTCCGATATTCTACAGAGTAGAGCTCCTCGTGTACGATGATTCTGTCACGTGATAAAACCATTCAGATATACTATAGAGTAGAGCTTCTCGTGTACGATGGTTCTGTCACGTGATAAAACCATTCCGATATTCTATAGAGTAGAGTTTCTCGTGTATGACGGTTCTGTCACGTCATAAAACCATTCCGATATTCTACAGAGTAGAGCTTCTCGTGTACGATGGTTCTGTCACGTGATAAAACCATTCCGATATTCTACAGAGTAGAGCTTCTCGTGTACGATGGTTCTGTCACGTGATAAAACCATTCCGATATACTATAGAGTAGAGCTTCTCGTGTACGGTGGTTCTGTCACGTCATAAAACCATTCAGATATACTATAGAGTAGAGCTTCTCGTGTATGACAGTTCAGTCACGTCATAAAACCATTCCGATATTCTATAGAGTAGAGCTTCTCGTGTATGACAGTTCAGTCACGTCATAAAACCATTCCGATATTCTGCAGAGTAGAGCTTCTCTTGAACGATGGTTCTGTCACGTCATACAGAGTAGAGCTTCTCGTGTGCGACGGTTCTGTCACGTCATAAAACCATTCCGATATACTATAGAGTAGAGCTTCTCTTGAACGATGGTTCTGTCACGTCATAAAACCATTCCGATATACTATAGAGTAGAGCTTCTCGTGTACGATGGTTCTGTCACGTCATAAAACCATTCCGATATACTATAGAGTAGAGCTTCTCGTGTACGATGGTTCTGTCACGTCATAAAACCATTCCGATATACTATAGAGTAGAGCTTCTCTTGTACGACGGTTCTGTCACGTCATAAAACCATTCCGATATTCTACAGAGTAGAGCTTCTCGTGTACGATGGTTCTGTCACGTCATAAAACCATTCCGATATTCTACAGAGTAGAGCTTCTCTTGAACGATGGTTCTGTCACGTCATAAAACCATTCCGATATTCTATAGAGTAGAGCTTCTCTTGAACGATGGTTCTGTCACGTCATAAAACCATTCCGATATACTATAGAGTAGAGCTTCTCGTGTACGATGGTTCTGTCACGTCATAAAACCATTCCGATATACTATAGAGTAGAGCTTCTCGTGTACGATGGTTCTGTCACGTCATAAAACCATTCCGATATACTATAGAGTAGAGCTTCTCGTGTATGACAGTTCAGTCACGTCATAAAACCATTCCGATATTCTATAGAGTAGAGCTTCTCTTGAACGATGGTTCTGTCACGTGATAAAACCATTCCGATATACTATAGAGTAGAGCTTCTCGTGTACGATGGTTCTGTCACGTGATAAAACCATTCCGATATTCTATAGAGTAGAGCTTCTCGTGTACGATGGTTCTGTCACGTGATAAAACCATTCCGATATTCTACAGAGTAGAGCTTCTCGTGTACGACGGTTCTGTCACGTGATAAAACCATTCCGATATTCTATAGAGTAGAGCTTCTCGTGTACGATGGTAAACTATTCCGGTTCATCTCGTACACGATAGCTCTTCGGCCATTTCGGCACACTGCAGAGTGTAGCATCTTGTGTACGACAGCTATGTCACGTGATAAAGCCATTTCGGTACACTGCAGAGTGTAACATCTTGTGTACGATAGCTATGTCACGTGATAAAGCCATTTCGGTACACTGCAGAGTGTAACATCTTGTGTACGACAGCTATGTCACGTGATAAAGCCATTTCGGTACACTGCAGAGTGTAACATCTTGTGTACGATAGCTATGTCACGTGATAAAGCCATTTCGGTACACTGCAGAGTGTAACATCTTGTGTACGACAGCTATGTCACGTGATAAAGCCATTTCGGTACACTGCAGAGTGTAACATCTTGTGTACGATAGCTATGTCACGTGATAAAGCCATTTCGGTACACTGCGAAGTGTAACATCTTGTGTACGACAGCTATGTCACGTGATAAAGCCATTTCGGTACACTGCAGAGTGTAACATCTTGTGTACGATAGCTATGTCACGTGATAAAGCCATTTCGGTACACTGCGAAGTGTAACATCTTGTGTACGATAGCTATGTCACGTGATAAAGCCATTTCGGTACACTGCGAAGTGTAACATCTTGTGTACGATAGCTATGTCACGTGATAAAGCCATTTCGGTACACTGCGAAGTGTAACATCCTGTGTACGATAGCTATGTCACGTGATAAAGCCATTTCGGTACACTGCGAAGTGTAACATCTTGTGTACGACAGCTATGTCACGTGATAAAGCCATTTCGGTACACTGCGAAGTGTAACATCTTGTGTACGACAGCTATGTCACGTGATAAAGCCATTTCGGTACACTGCAGAGTGTAACATCTTGTGTACGACAGCTATGTCACGTGATAAAGCTATTTCGGTACACTGCAGAGTGTAACATCTTGTGTACGACAGCTATGTCAAAGAAACACATGATAGAACAATTCCGGTATATTGTAGAGTGTAACTTCTCGTGAACAATAGCTCTGTCACGTGATAAATCCATTCCCCTTACTTTAACCTTTTATGACCATTCTGTTAGGATGAATTGCTTTTCAACTTCACATTCAAATTCTTTGTTTTAGTAAATGTCAGCTTTGTGAATTATTTCAGAGAATGCTCCCCTGTTTGTTTCCTTTTATCCACAAATAAGCCCACTGCTTACCGTCCTTACGTTTCCAATTAACTGGGCGAAGCCTGAGCGAGTTTGTTATTATGACATGTAAATTCATACATGTAATTAGACTTTCTAGTCGATGCTGTATAAAAGTTATCGGTAATATTGCAACTATCAATCCAAGTCATCTAGGAACAGCTGTCATCGGCGTCTTCATCGTTAAAAAATATAAAAAAAAACCAACTTTTGTTATTCTGAATCTAATGACACATTAGGTCATCAGCTTATATACACGTCGATATAAAGGAGCTGTTTCATGGTTTTTGTGTTTTTGTGTGTGCATTTGTCACTTTGTGAAATGGTGAATGTATCACGCGGCACGTAGAGAATAATTAGGACAACCTTCTACACGTAAAACGGAAGATGTTTACCAAAGATGTCTGATAAGCTGCATACAGATGATCATAATAAAATTTAGGAAAGTTGTTTGGTCTAAATTTATCACTTTATGACAAAGGGTTGTATCTACCTCAGTAAAGAGACGAATGAAATATTCTTTTTTAATTGAGGTATTTTGTGAACTACGCGTTGTGTTATGAGTAAAAGAAGGTTTTAATAATACAACAGAAGGTATCTTTCACCCCACAACTGCACATGGATTTCACGAATCTAACCGTGTGTAAAAATCGCAAACCTCCAAATACACACAAATCTAACCGCGTGCAAAACCCCAAACCTCCAAGTATACACTAATCTAACCGCGTGTAAAACCCCAAACCTCCAAGTATGCACGAATCTAACCGCGTGTAAAAACCCATACCTCCATGTTTACAAGAATCAAACCGCGTGTAAAATCCCATACCTCCAAGTATACACGAATCTAATCGCGTGTAAAACCCCAAATCTCCAAGTATACACGAATACACGAATCTAACCGCGTGTAAAACCCCATACCTCCATGTATACACGAATCTAACCGCGTGTAAAAAACCCAAAACCTCCAAGTATACACGAATCTAACCGCGTGTTAAATCCCATACCTCCAAGTATACACGAATCTAACCGCATGTAAATCCCCAAACCTCCAAGTATACACTAATCTAACCGCGTGTTAAATCCCATACATCCAAGTATACACGAATCTAACCGCGTGTTAAACCCCAAACATCCAAGTATACACGAATCTAACCGCATGTAAATCCCCAAACCTCCAAGTATACACTAATCTAACCGCGTGTTAAATCCCATACCTCCAAGTATACACGAATCTAACCGCGTGTTAAACCCCATACCTCCAAGTATACACTAATCTAACCGCGTGTTAAATCCCATACCTCCAAGTATACACGAATCTAACCGCGTGTTAAATCCCATACCTCCAAGTATACACGAATCTAACCGCGTGTTAAACCCCATACCTCCAAGTATACACGAATCTAACCGCGTGTTAAATCCCATACCTCCAAGTATACACGAATCTAACCGCGTGTTAAATCCCATACCTCCAAGTATACACGAATCTAACCGCGTGTTAAATCCCATACCTCCAAGTATACACAAATCAAACCGCATGTAAAAACCAAAACCTCTAAGTATACCTAAATCTAACCGCGTGTAAAACCAAAAACCTCCAAGTATACACTAATCTAACCGCGTGTTAAACCCCAAACATCCAAGTATACACGAATCTAACCGCATGTAAAACCCAAAACCTCCAAGTATACCTGAATCTAACCGCGTGTAAAACCCAAAACCTTCAAGTATACCTGAATCTAACCGCGTGTAAAACCCAAAACCTTCAAGTATACCTGAATCTAACCGCGTGTAAAACCCCAAATCTCCAAGTTTACACTAATCTAACCGCGTGTAAATCCCCAAACCTCCAAGTATACACTAATCTAACCGCGTGTTAAACCCCAAACATCCAAGTATACACGAATCTAACCGCATGTAAAACCCCAAACCTCCAAGTATACCTGAATCTAACCGCGTGTAAAACCCCAAATCTCCAAGTTTACACTAATGTAACCGCGTGTAAATCCCCAAACCTCCAAGTATACACGAATCTAACCGCGTGTTAAATCCCATACCTCCAAGTATACACGAATCTAACCGCGTGTTAAACCCCATACCTCCAACTATACACGAATCTAACCGCGTGTTAAACCCCATACCTCCAACTATACACGAATCTAACCGCGTGTTAAACCCCATACCTCCAAGTATACACGAATCTAACCGCGTGTTAAATCCCATACCTCCAAGTATACACGAATCTAACCGCGTGTTAAATCCCATACCTCCAAGTATACACGAATCTAACCGCGTGTTAAACCCCATACCTCCAAGTATACACGAATCTAACCGCGTGTTAAATCCCATACCTCCAAGTATACACGAATCTAACCGCGTGTTAAACCCCATACCTCCAAGTATACACGAATCTAACCGCGTGTTAAATCCCATACCTCCAAGTATACACGAATCTAACCGCGTGTTAAATCCCATACCTCCAAGTATACACGAATCTAACCGCGTGTTAAATCCCATACCTCCAAGTATACACAAATCAAACCGCATGTAAAAACCAAAACCTCTAAGTATACCTGAATCTAACCGCGTGTAAAACCAAAAACCTCCAAGTATACACTAATCTAACCGCGTGTTAAACCCCAAACATCCAAGTATACACGAATCTAACCGCATGTAAAACCCAAAACCTCCAAGTATACCTGAATCTAACCGCGTGTAAAACCCAAAACCTTCAAGTATACCTGAATCTAACCGCGTGTAAAACCCCAAATCTCCAAGTTTACACTAATCTAACCGCGTGTAAATCCCCAAACCTCCAAGTATACACTAATCTAACCGCGTGTTAAACCCCAAACATCCAAGTATACACGAATCTAACCGCATGTAAAACCCCAAACCTCCAAGTATACCTGAATCTAACCGCGTGTAAAACCCCAAATCTCCAAGTTTACACTAATGTAACCGCGTGTAAATCCCCAAACCTCCAAGTATACACGAATCTAACCGCGTGTTAAATCCCATACCTCCAAGTATACACGAATCTAACCGCGTGTTAAACCCCATACCTCCAACTATACACGAATCTAACCGCGTGTTAAACCCCATACCTCCAACTATACACGAATCTAACCGCGTGTTAAACCCCATACCTACAACTATACACGAATCTAACCGCGTGTTAAACCCCATACCTCCAACTATACACGAATCTAACCGCGTGTTAAATCCTATACCTCCAACTATACACGAATCTAACCGCGTGTACTACCGAGTGTTGAAGATCCTGACCGCGTGTGAAACCTCTTACTACCGAGTGTTGAAGAACCTGACCACGTGCGAAACCTCGTACTTCCGAGTGTTGAAGAACCTGACCGCGTGTGAAACCTCGTACTACCGAGTGCTGACCAGGTGTGAAAACACGTACTACTAAGTATACTAGAGATTAACTGATTCAAAAGCGGCTTATAACTGATCATAACCACTGACGTGTATATGGTCCGGATGGGACAATTCAAGATGGCGGAAAGAACTTAACAGAACTGGAACTGGATCATTTAAAAAAGACGCGCTCAAAAAATATCCCCAAAGTCTAACAAAAAGTTTGACTTTAACTATCTCTAATCAACGATACGTAATCAAATCACCAATACTTGTTACTTGATCAAGAAAATTAACAAATAAACGAGTTTTATTGAGTATGAAGATGTCAATATCGGGTATAGCCACCACACTTCTGTTAAATACTTGTGCCCGTCATCTAATACCATTGACCAGACGCTGAAACTTGTTCTAAGGAAACGGGTCATTCCTGAATCAATTCAGCACGTATTTCTCCAATTGTTTGGCATGTTGAATCCCGATCATCGACTTTTTGTTCGATATAGTTTCACATATACTCCATTGGATTCATCATTGGTGACAATGCATGTCACAAAAGCACCTCTATCACTTCTTGTTGATAGTCTTACACACGGCAGGCTCCGTGTGGTTTGGCGTCGTCATCCATCAGGACAGTCCGATATGCCAATGGATGGCATCGGAAAGCGAAACAACTAAAGGTCGACACAGTAATAAGAAATAAAAAGCGACTCCCATCAGACCATTGGAGACTTCTCCAAGACGAAATAGTCCATATCCGGTGATTACGTGCCCGATGCAATCTTGCTTGTTTACTCCTTCCAGTCAACAAAGGACATTTTACTGTTTGGCGACAGCCAAGTCTTACTGGCTAATGCGAACATCGACGTTCCCCTGTCCTCTGAGCCTGTTGGTATTTGTGAATGGGACTTGCCTTGCCTGTCTGTACATCAGTCTATCTTCTCTCTCTCTGTAGTCTTTAAAGGTCTGTCAGACCTGGGACGCTCGACAACATACCAGGTTTGGTTCAGACGCTACAATAACAGAGAAATAACAGAATTACTGACGTTAAAAGATGAAGCTACTACTTGTATGTCATACTACCATAGCCATCTTTCAGTAATTGTCAGTATTCGAAGTGACATATTAAGTACATTATGACCACTTGTATGATTTATCATTGGTACACGTGCAAACGCTGCTGTAGGTGGCAAAGCAAAGTTTCTTGAGTAGGGGATACTAAAGTTTAATCTGGCTAATCGTTAAGAGTGTATCGCTTAGTGGCGTACATCGCTAAGTATGGTTCACATGAATACATCAGAATTCAACCTACACATAGATAAGTAAGGTTCACATGAATACAATAGAATTCAACCTACACATGGCTAAATATGGTTCACATGAATACAACAGAATTCAACCTACACATGGCTAAGTATGGTTCACATGAATACAACAGAATTCAACCTACACATGGCTAAGTATAGTTCACATGATTACTACAGAATTCAATCTACACAAGGCTAAATATGGTTCACATGAATACAACAGAATTCAACCTACATATAGCTAAATATGGTTCACGTGATTACCACAGAATTCCACCTACACATGGCTAAGTATAGTTCACAGGAATACAACAGAATTCAACCTACAGATGGCTAAGTATGGTTCACATGAATACAACAGAATTCAACCTACAGATGGCTAAGTATGGTTCACATGAATACAACAGAATTCAACCTACCTCAAATATGGAATTCAACCTGCTAAGTATGGTTCACATGAATACAACAGAATTCAACCTACACATGGCTAAGTATGGTTCACATGAATACAACAGAATTCAACCTACAGATGGCTAAGTATGGTTCACATGAATACAACAGAATTCAACCTACATATAGCTAAATATGGTTCACGTGATTACCACAGAATTCAACCTACACATGGCTAAGTATGGTTCACATGAATACAACAGAATTCAACCTACACATGGCTAAGTATGGTTCACATGAATACAACAGAATTCAACCTACACATGGCTAAGTATGGTTCAACCTACACATGAATACATGATTAACAGAATTCAACCTACACATGGCTAAGTATATTTCAGATGATTACTACAGAATTCAATCTACACATGGCTATGGTTCATGAATACAACAGAATTCAACCTACACATGGCTAAATATGGTTCCAAGTATGTTCACATGAATACAACAGAATTCAACCTACATATAGCTAAATATGGTTCACGTGAATAACACAGAATTCAACCTACATATAGCTAAGTATGGTTCACATGAATACAACAGAATTCAACCCACCCATGGCTAAGTATGGTTCACATGAATACAACAGAATTCAACCTACACATGGCTAAGTATGGTTCACATGATTACTACAGAATTCAATCTACACAAGGCTAAATATGGTTCAAATGAATACAACAGAATTCAACCTACACATGGCTAAGTATGGTTCACATGAATACAACAGAATTCAACCTACATATAGCTAATTATGGTTCACGTGATTACCACAGAATTCAACCTACACATGGCTAAGTATGGTACAAGAGAATACAGCAGAATGCAACCTACACATGGCTAAGTATGGTTCACGTGATTACCACAGAATTCAACCTACAGATGGCTAAGTATTGTTCACATGAATACAACAGAATTCAACCTACAGATGGCTAAGTATGGTTCACATGAATACAACAGAATTCAACCTACACATGGCTAAGTATGATTCAAATGAATACAACAAAATTCAACATACACATGGCTAAGTATGGTTCACATGAATACAACAGAATTCAACCTACACATGGCTAAGTATGGTTCAAATGAATACAACAGAATTCAACCTACACATGGCGAAGTATGGTTCACATGAATACAACAGAATTCAACCTACACATGGCTAAGTATGGTTCACATGATTACAACAGAATACAACAGAATTCAACCTACACATGGCTAAGTATGGTTCACGAGAATACAACAGAATTCAACCTACACATGGCTAAGTATGGTTCACATGAATACAACAGAATTCAACCTACACATGGCTAAGTATGGTTCACGTGATTACCACAGAATTCAATCTACAAAAGGCTAAATATGGTTCAAATGAATACAACAGAATTCAACCTACAGATGGCTAGGTATTGTTCACATGAATACAACAGAATTCAACCTACAGGTATTGTTCACATGAATACAACAGAATTCAACCTACACATGGCTAAGTATGGTTCACGAGAATACAACAGAATTCAACCTACACATGGCTAAGTATGGTTCACGTGATTACCACAGAATTCAACCTACAGATGGCTAAGTATGGTTCACATGAATACAACAGAATTCAACCTACATATAGCTAAATATGGTTCACGTGATTAACACAGAATTCAACCTACACATGGCTAAGTATGGTTCACGAGAATACAACAGAATTCAACCTACACATGGCTAAATATGGTTCACATGAATACAACAGAATTCAACCTACACATGGCTAAGTATGGTTCACATGAATACAACAGAATTCAACCTACACATGGCTAAGTATGGTTCACATGAATACTACAGAATTCAATCTACACAAGGCTAAATATGGTTCACATGAATACAACAGAATTCAACCTACACATGGCTAAGTATGGTTCAAATAAATACAACAAAATTCAACCAACACATGGCTAAGTATGGTTCACATGAATACAACAGAATTCAACCTACACATGGCTAAGTATGGTTCACATGAATACAACAGAATTCAACCTACACATGGCTAAGTATGGTTCACATGAATACAACAGAATTCAACCTACACATGGCTAAGTATGGTTCACATGATTACAACAGAATTCAACCTACACATGGCTAAGTATGGTTCACATGAATACAACAGAATTCAACCTACACATGGCTAAGTATGGTTCACATGAATACAACAGAATTCAACCTACAGATGGCTAAGTATGGTTCACATGAATACAACAGAATTCAATCTACATATAGCTAAATATGGGTCACGTGATTAACACAGAATTCAACCTACACATGGCTAAGTATGGTTCACATGAATACAACAGAATTCAACCTACACATGGCTAAGTATGGTTCACATGAATACAACAGAATTCAACCTACACATGGCTAAGTATG